CTTTAATTTCCTTCATCAGTGGTTTATAGTTCCATACCAGTTATTGACGACAGGGCTGTGAGGAGACAAGCAACAACCTTGACCTTGACTAAACTTACACTTGGCCTAGGGTCACAAACATGTGGTCACAGTTGTGTGAGGAAGTGTGTAGCATGCTCAGAATGAACAGTGGTAGAAGTGAGGAGATATTCTTTAAGAAACTGACCTTTGCAACCACTTGAAAGGAGAGTTAACTGGGTAAATGCATTAGAATTGTGGGTGGTGGCTGGAGGGATGGGACATTGGAGAAATCCTATTTGCAGAGATTATGGGGCCTAAAGGGGGATGGCATCCCCAGAGAAATATAACATCCATGTGCCTGGATATTACCATTATTGGGAGAAGATACGGCCTCTGTGTCAGGCTCAGGGCTAACCTCTGCACACATGTTATCTTGGTTTATACTCACACAACCCTATGAGGCAAGGTTATTATTATTTCCATTTTATAAATAAGGAAACTGAGGCACTTAGATTGTAAGGGGCAGAGCTGAGATTCAGACTAAAGCAGGCTGATTTTAAAGCCCCAGTTTCTTTCCTCCTACTAAGGGAGGCAAAATTAGTCTGCCTTAAGTCAGATCTTGTGAGTGTTCCCTTCATATTAAACCAGGGCTTTTCAATACTGTTGACATTTTGGGCCAGATAATTCTTTATTGGGGGTGGGGGCTGTCCTGTGCATTTTGGGATGTTTAGAGGCATCCCTGACCTCCACCCACAAGATGCCATTAGCTCCCATTCTCCACCAGTAATGACAATTAAAAACATCTTCAGACTTTGCCACATCTCTTTGGTGGGGAAGGTGAATAGCAAAATTACCCCATACACCACCCTTGTGTTGAGAACCACTGTGTTGCACTGTAAGGTCTCAGGACGGGATGGAGTTGTGTTAAGTTTCTTCTTTCCCTCCTCTCTTCTCTTCTCCCTCTTCTTTTTTCCTGTGTTTCCTAAGGGCCCACCATGTACAGGCTGGAGACACATCCCTCATAGTTTATAACCCAGTAACTTGTAGACAGTAGTTACTTAACAAATGCTTGAGGAATCACTGTCAACTGAATCCTTAATGCCAGGAATCCTAAATGTTATGGGTGCATTCTTGTCAAATGGAAAACATTCTTCCTGAATGCAAAACTTGATGTTGACAAAGTTAATTCCTGATTTCGGATCACTTGGAGTATCAGGTGTCCCTGGAGATCTGGCTTAGCTGGTGTCCTGCAGGTTGGAAAGCTGCATGTGAATCTCACCAGCCTTTAGACAGGTCAAGCAGAGCAGCTGTTAAGAGCCTAGCAGAGAGTGGCATCGCTGGATTGCCAGTAAATGCTGATGGATGCATAGCTGACCTGTAACAATTAGGTGAAGCCATGTGCCTCGGTCTGTAATTTGAGATTCCATTTAAAGCACATACTGATTTTCTCCAGTGATTCTTTCCATCACTTTTGGATGAGATCGGGATTGGGGGAATGACTCCCCAACTAGATCTTCTATTCAACCTCTTTGACAGTGAGCAGTCACTGGGAGCGAGAGCTCATTTCTGGGCAGTTTTCTTGCCACCGCAGGTTCTGTATCACTGGCATGTCAGTTGCTTGTCATTAGCAGGAGCTCAGAGAATTCTAAATGCAAAGATAATGCAGGGGTGAGCCCCCAAAATATAACACATTTAAATCTGATAGCATCTTTATTTGTGTTAGCTCCAGGCATTCTCTGCTCCTCTGCTTCTCAGTACACACAGCCTGGAAGTGTCATCTCTCGATGGCTATTTGTTGGTGCTTTCTGTTGTCTTTAAAGTGTAATGTTGTAACGCCTATCTTCTCTGAGATTACACGTATCTTGTATATAATCTTGTATACATGTGTATGTACGCATGTATCTATATGTTACACTGAGGCAGAGTGGGAGAGAATCCCATGGTAATTGTGCTTCTTGGAAACTATTCCCTCGCTTTCCCCAACCCCTCTACACATACCCCGACAGGCCTGAATGGCCCCTAAGGTATTTCTAATCAATGTCCTGATTCTCTCTCTCTTGCCAGAAGGAGGGACATGTGAAGTGATAGCCGCACACAGATGTTGTAATAAGAACCGCATTGAGGAGCGGTCACAAACAGTAAAGTGTTCCTGTCTACCTGGTAAAGTGGCCGGAACGACAAGAAACCGACCTTCCTGCGTCGATGGTAAGTAGCTGCTTTCACGTGTCTCTCTTGGTGTTTGCCTACGTCTTCACCATACATAACACATACGTTCTGTTTCATCTGAATATGGTTCAGGATAATGAAGGAGGTGCATCCAAAGGGCTGGAATGTTATACAAGTGCAGGCCGTCGGCACAGAGGTTGAATTCTTGTTTCTCTGGAATTGGCTTGTTCAAAGAGCTGTACTGAGAAGATAAGGCAAAGGAATTTTTTCAAGTCAGTAAATTTGAGGGTCCAGTTCATTTGGGAATTGATTTTGGATTGAGGTTCTATGTAATGGTGATGATAATGGTAGTAAAGGTAGTAATATCTAACATTCATTTGGCACATATTTAATGAGCATTTACTCTATGCCTGGCACTGCTCTGGATACTTCCCATACATTCATGAACAGATAGAAGTGCCCTGAGGGTTCACCATGTGCCAAACCCTGTCCTAAACATTTCTCATGTACTGTTTTATTTACTCATCCTCACAATACCATCTTAGTTATCTATGGCTGTATAACAATTTACACCCCTCTTCCCCAAAATTAGCTGCTTTAAAGAGCAAACATTGTGTCATAATTTGTATGAGTCAAGAATTCAACTTAGCTGGGTGGTTCTGGCTCAGGGTTCCTTATGTGTTTGCAGTCAAGTTCTGAAGGCTTGACTGATGCTGGAGGATGGTGTTGAGATGGTTCACTCACATAGCTGTTGGCAAGTGGCCTTAGCTCCCTGGTGCATGGAGCTCTCCAAAGGAGCTTGGTGTCCTCACAAGATGGCAGCTGGCTTCGCCCAGAGCGACTGATCCGAAAGAACAAAATAGATGCCCCAGTGATCTAATCTTTTATGACATAACCTCAGAAGTTATCCTTCACTATTTTCACAATATCCTACTGTTTATACAAGGTAGCCATATCTCTCCAGCATGGGGGCAGAGGACAAAGATCACTGGGGCAGATACATTTTTCTCTTCCATTTTGAACATGAAGAAACTGAGGCTTAGGAGGGTAAAGAAATGTTCCATTGGTCCCCTGACTGGTCAGTTATAGCTCTACTAATTCTTGAGATGAAAGTAACTGATTCTAATACTGAGTCTTGACCACCATCTTTAAGACAATTTGTATGTCCTGTCAAACAGAGTCCAAGTTTTAAAGAGATCACAAGTATCTCTCCCCATCTTTATCTTTCATAATTTTAGAGCCAAATATGAGTTGATCTTCAAATTCTTCAGTAAGAGAATCAGAATTCAGAAGCAACATCTCTTGTTCAGGTCACAGCAGGAATTAGAAGCTAAGTCTCTTGCCTTAGGGTCCATTGTTACACTTCTAGCTATAGGTGGGGAAGGGTACCTCCTAGCTCATGTTATGTATTTTCACTATAAATTATTAGGTGATTAGAAGGGAAGCACATTCAAGCTGTACCAAGAAAGGAGAAAGTTATATTTTTTTAAGAAAATAGAAGAATCCTAGGGAACCCAATTATAAGAAATCCATCCAAACCTCATACATTGTTCAGGTAGCTGCCATCTTGTTTTCTTTGTTGCTGATCTTGGTTTCCCTCATTCTCCTCTGTGTGGACTAGATCCCTCTTCAAGGATCTTAGCTTTTATTCCCCCACACCTTAGGGATTGGTGTGAAGCTTTTATCTCAGTGGTACCAATTCTGATCTCACTCAGCACCAGGGTATTGCCAAAGTATATTTGACTCACTTCCTGTGTCTTAAGTGCCTTTTCCAAAAAGATTAAATAGGATTGATTCAGCTTGGGTCATATGTCAATCTTTGCCCAATTAACTACAGCCAGAGTGACATATGACAAACTCTGGGAAGATCAAGCTTAAAAAAAAAAAGCTGAAAAAGCCAGATTTAAGAATACACTGTGACCAGTAGTTCTTAATCAGGGCAGTTCTCAGAGGTCATTTGGCAATGTCCGGAGACCAGTTTTGGTCTAGACATTGGTTAGAACTAGAGGGATGCTACTGGCATCTGGCATTTAGAAGCCAGGCAAGCTGCCCATCATCCTATAATGCACAGGACATCTCCTACAACAAAGCATCACCCAGCCCCTGATGTCAGTTGGGGAGCTGAGGTTCAGAAACTTGCACAATAGTTATTTAGTGTTCTAGATCCCAGTCAGCACACTGAGGCACCTTCACTGCAGGGAAGCAGGCAGCTGGACTAGAAAAGCCATTTCATCCTCTGAAAGGAGGACGTTCTTGGCCCTAAAAGCCAATAAACATTATAAAACCATGATGATTTCTCCTCTTCTCTGCCAAAGAAGACATTGTTTCTGTTAACTCTAAATCCCCATTTTGCTTCCAGCTCATTTTTATCACTAATGATCTAGAAATAGAATTGCCTTCAGGATTTGGCTGCAAGACACAAAAAGGGCTGCATTGTCTTTGCTGGCGGAGGGGGAAGTGGCATCTGGCTCTAAGTTTCTCTGGAAAGTTAAGCCACATGTTGGTAACATTTTGTCTCTCGGAACAAGTTTGACTTTGGAAACTCTGAGCCCTTTAGTGTGGTGGGTGTAGGCAAGAGAGCTTTTAATCTCTATCTTCCAAGCAAAAATCTATAGAGTGTAGAGTATTCTGTGGCCTCAAGCAGTTTGTCATTTCCATAGCATCCCACTCTTCCAGAATCTTTGAATCCGTTGGCATATGTGGGCTTTGATCAAAATTGTTTTTATGGTCTAGATCTCTGAATGCAAATTAAATATGAAGTGGGTATATGACTTAATTCCAGTGTAGTTACGAAGATCACGAACTGCGAAATTAGGTAAGAGTGGAACCTCAGCTGTAGCAGTTACTAATAGAGTGACCTTGGGCAAGTCACATTTGTTTCATAACCTGTTTCTTCATCTGTAAAATGGGGATAATTGTTTCTGCTTCATAACGTTGTGGTGAGGACTAAGTAAAATTATCTGTACAATGTGCTTTGTATAATGTCTGGTTCCCATCAAGTATTCACTAACCCACAGTATCAATTTCCTATCATATTAAGAAGCGTGGGTGATGCTTAGAAGCAGACATTATTTTATGAAGTTTTGTTTCACGTTAACTTAACACATTGGCGTTTTAGCCACCATCTTTTCTTGGAATTTCTTCAAACCAATTCCCCTGGATATCACTAAAGATCCTAAGTCATCTTCAGCAATGTGTGCTCATTATCAGAATTTTGAAAAACAAAAAAAAAAATCCATACATGAAAATCACCCATGATATTACTGCTCAGAGATTATCATTGCTTTGTAAGAAGGCATGTACATGTCCTTCAGGGTTTAACCCATCATTGAAGACAAGCTCACATAGTAGGTGGTTCTGTTGAATTCAAATGTTATAGTTTCCTTTTCTCAAAAGCTTGTTTCATTTAATATATGATGAACATTTTCCAACTTAGTACTCTTAAAAACATTATTTTTAATAGCTATATAAGACTTTAAGGGTGGATACACCACCATTTACCGAATTAGCCCCTCACTTTGGCACATTTATGATGTTTCATGCATTTCCCTTTCTCATCTTAAAAATGGGTAGGAACCAGTTTCTCTTCATGACAGCAGTGGACAATCCATACACCACATTGTCCCAAACATGTTCTGGCCTACATAGTGCATTTCCCATGGTGAGTGTTCCAATTGCCGTTATTTGCTTTCCTCTGAAATTGCAGTTCAGTTGCTTTTTACGGTGTTTCCAAAAAGAGAGAAAACAGCTCTGATTTAAAAAAAAAAAAACCCTTATATTGGATTGTTTTAAGATTCAAAACCTGAGATGAGATTATTTTAAGTGGGACATAAATTTTGAAGTATAATCCTAGCAACAATGTATTCAAAGGTATAATAGGTGATACTTGGAGAAAATTTTAAGTAGTGGACTTTTAGTTTAAAAGTGATATTCTACTACATAATAACTGAAAATACCAAAAATACACACTTGACACCTTAAATTTTGACACAGTCATTTCTAAATATTTTAAAAAGCGTTATATCCTTGGATGTGTGCCTAGCACTATTCTGAGGAAATATAGGTTGTTAGACCCTCATTCTCACCATGTCGTCTTTTATTATTCATTCTATAACTCAAAATACATAGTGGGGGGGCACCTTACTCAATATCTTTGGTTGAGACCAACTGAAAATTTAATGTACAGTTTTTCTGTAATCTCCAGTTACTTTCCAGGGACTAGATTTAAAATCAAATACTCATAAACAAGAAGATGATGACTCTCAAACATAATTATTTACTTAAGGGAAGAATTTTTTTCCAAGCAGATGATGTAAAACAAACAAAAATAAATTTCTAGGGGGCTTGTGAAGTTATGTTTTCATTATTCTAATTGATCTATGATGGCATAAAAAGGGAACTAACCTCAAAGTTTTAAAAATAATGGAATATAATTAGGAATAGTTACCATAATAGTAATAAAAATAATGGGTAACATTTTCTCAAGGGTTTATCATGTACCATTTTTCCAAGTCCTTCAAGTCTTGTTTATCCATTTACTTCTAATTCCAGCCCCACAGGGTGTAGCCTTCTATTTTTCCCATTTTACTTTCCAGGAAGCTAAGGGTAAGACTTGGTGACTTGCTCAAAATCTTATAGCCGGTATGAGCAGAGTTGGAAGATCTCACTGGGCTGTCTGACTCCAGGGACTCCATTTATCAAGCGTGGGCAAATCAGGGTCTAACGTAAACTCATGTAATATTCCAAAGGCTTGCTTACAAGGTGCGAAAATATCTGGGTGAGAAGAGAAACAAAGCCCAGCCATTACTTTGGGCAATACCTGCCCCATCCCTTTCTGTGTTTTAGAGGTGGTTGATTGATTGCCCTTCCTGAGGTCATTGTCACTGAGTAATCAGAAGCATTTTTGTTTTTTTGGTTTTGGTTTTTTAAACTGAAATATAGTCAGAATGTGTCAATTTCTAGTGTACAGCACAATGTCCCAGTCATGCATATACATACATATATTCATTTTCATATTCTTCATTAAAGGTTATTACAAGGTATTTAATATAGTTCCCTGTGCTATACAGAAGAGATTTGGTTTTTAAAATCTGTTTTTACGTATAGTGGCTAACATTTGCAAATCTCAAAGTCCCAAATTTAGCCCTTCCTACCCGCTTCCCCCTAGTAACCATAAGATTGTTTACTATGTCTGCAACTCTGTTTCTGTTTTGTGGGTGAGTTCATTAGTGTCCTCTTTTTTTCCTTTAGATTCCACATATGAGTGATATCATATGGTATTTTCCTTTCTCTTTCTGGTTTACTTCACTTAGAATGATGAGCTCTAGGGCCATCCATGTTGCTGCAAATGGCATTATTTGATTATTTTTATGACTGACTAATATTCCATTTTATATATATATCACAACTTCTTTATCCAGCCATATTTTGATGGACATTTAGGTTGTTTCCATGTCTTGGCTATTGTATATACAGCTGCTATGAACATTGGGGTGCACATGTCTTTTCAAATTAGATATATACCCAGATGTGGGATTGCTGGATCATATAGTAAGTCTATTTTTAGTTTTTTGATGAATCTCTATACTGTTTTCCATAATGGCTGTATCAAACTACATTCCCATCAGTAGTGTAGGAGGGTTCCCCTTTCTCCACTGCCTCTCCAGCATTTGTAATTTGTGAACTTTTGAATGATGGCCATTCTGACTGCTGTGAGGTGATACCTCATTGTAGTTTTGATTTGCATTTCTCTGATAATTAGTGATATTGAGCATCTTTTCATATGCCTATTGGCCATTTGTATGTCCTCATTGGAGAATTGCTCATTTAGGTCTTCTGCCTATTTTTGGATTGGGTTGTTTGTTTGTTTGTCTTTGTTGTTGTTGTTATTAAGTTGTATGAGATGTTTATATATTTTGGAAATTAATCCTTTGTCAGTCGCATCATTTGCAAATATTTTCCCATTCCCTAGGTTATTGTTTTGTTTTGCTTATGGTTTCCTTTGCTGTGCAAAAGCTTAAAAGTTTAATTAGATCCCGTTTGTTAATTTTTGCTTTTATTTCCATTGCCTGGGTGGACTGCCCTAGGAGAAATTGCTAAAATTTATGTCAGAGAATGTTTAGCTTATGCTTGCTTCTAGGAAGTTTATTGTGTCTTGTCTTATGTTTAAGTCTTTAAGCCATTTTGAGTTAATTTTTGTGTATGGAGTGAGGGAGTGTTCTTACTTAATTGATTTACACGCTGCTATCCAGTTTTCCCAACACCATTTGCTGAAGAGACTGTCTTTCCTCCATTGTATATTCTTGCCTCCTTTGTCAAAGATTAATTGACCATAAATCTGTAGGTTTATTTCTGGGCTGTCTATTTTGTTCCATTGATCCATATGTCTGTTTTTATACCAATACCATGCTGTTTTGATTACTGTAGCTCTGTAATATTATTCAGTGTAAATTGTGACCATTTCAATGACTCTGATTACCAGCAAATTTTACCTGGTATTCTTGTCTTCTTACACTGGATTGCCAGCCAGAGGGAGCAACAAAAAGAGATCAGCTTATATCACAAAACTTTCTTACCTTCACAGCTATGGAAATTCCAGATTATTTTGTCTTTAACCATAAGTATACCTTGAATATAATGAAAAAGTCGTCATGCTCCTGGCTATTTATGTGAAGAAAAAACCCACAATACATCAGGATACTTTGCTTCTCATTTATCATACTTAGCTTCCAAGATAAGAGTGAAAGAGACAGCAGGAAAAATACACAAAGATGCAGACCCAGGAAGGCAGACAGAATTATAGGGAAGAAGACCTGTAATCAGTGAGATGGAGGAATGTACAAAGAGGGGCATGAGAACAAGAAATCAGAGAGAAAAGGATAACAGAGAGAGATAAGACAATGGATGCTTAGAAGGAATATTAAAACACCCATCCATAAAATGACTTCATTCATTTTTTCCAAACAACTTGTTTATATTCAGTCGCATAGTGTATAACTAATTTTAACAAAATAAAATGTATTTGGTAGGTTGAGACTTCAATTTTTTTCAAGTGACATTGTATGAATTTCTAGTATCAGAATCCCTACAAAGATTGCCTCTAAAGATTGCTGCTTTGGAAAATACATAATAAAATTTTCTTGACCGCAGACCACTGTATTCCCTAGAGACAGCCATGATGGAGAAAAAAGGTTGAGAATTGAAGGGAATTTGAAAGTCAGCAAGAGTTTTCTGTAGACTAGCATGAAATACATATGAGAAACACTGCGTATAATGCCTTCTTCTTAGCCTTCTAAAACATGATAGCATATTTAAGACTCGGAGAAGTGCTGCAGACAAGGAACTTGTAGAACTTCAGAGCAGTATTTCACAACCTTTTGGACCAGAGAACCTTTGCATACTTAACACTTATTTATATCCTGCAGACCCCATGTTCCATGAAATGGACTTTGGGCCATGCTGGTATTAGACCATATGGACTTTATTTTTATTTCCAGAAATATTTTTTAAGTCTTCTGAATCTAGCTGATGATTCCTCTGCCCATAGCTCAGTCTTTTTCTTAAGACTGGCTGACCAAAAACTGCACAACGGGTCCTGGTAGTAATGTGATTTATAGTATCTCGGTGTGTCAAGCTCAGCTACAGTTTGGAAATCATCTAGAGACCTTCCAGAGAAATGCAGTGTGAAAAAGCTTAAGCCCTTATTTTTATTCACAGTTATTGAATGTTTTAGGGGACAGGGAAGATGACCTACTTTGGTTCTACCGTTTGTTACTTGTCATCCGCAGGCAATGAAATACCAAGATAATGAATTGCTGTGGTGGCTCAGGGCCACATGCCACAGTAGCTGTCTCTGGTCCCTTCATGACCATCTCTGTTTGAAACTTACCTTGTTCTTTCAAGGCAAACTCTAGCTTGTTCAGTGGACAGAATACTGATTTCAGCTGGTTTCATCAGTAGGCATTGCTGAAAGGAGATTCTGTTGTTCCTATTAGAAGAGGATCTTCTATAGCATCATTAATGAGATCATGGCATTTTCAGGCATAATTTCTGAATTATATATAAATTTTCTTTTGCTCCTCTACTTGGTACCTCTTCTCACCCAGGTATGTAAGGGATCCAAGTCTGCATTAGGAGATGGAAGGAGAGGAAGGATGTATAAGAACTGAGGAGGCTTTTTAGACTGTCTAGTAGAAGGTCTCTCTGTTCCTTGTTGTAATAAAGAGAATGGGAATTCAGCTTGAGATATTCCCATACCTCCAAAAGTGGACATTACTTTTTTGTTGTTGTTAGCTTAAAGCAGTAGGTTCCAACTGATATCCCACTGGCAGAAACTACCCTCAGGCTTGTTCCTTAGGCAGAGTAATGGAAAATTTGACCTTGAGTGCTCTTAGATGGGACAATCCAGTTTGCTGCAGGCCTCACCACTCCCTATTACACACTTGGCTCTGGCACAATAATGCCTGATCCCTGAAGACAGTGGAATGTATTGTTCCTAGTTCACAGTCATTTTCCTACTATTCTCAAGTTAATAAGGACATTAATTTGTTAGGAAAAAGTCTCCTCTTTGATATAAAAGTAATAGCCTGGTGTAAATGGAAATATATATATATTTATGTATGTGTACGTATATATATATATATATATACACACACACAAAAACAGCAAAGAAAGGATAAAAATAAGGGTAATCCTTCTTCTCCTTCTCTTTCCCACTGGTCTTCTCACATCTTAATTGCCAGAGGGGAACCATCATTACTAGGTTTCTGTGCATCCTTACAGATATTTATGCACATGCCAGCCTCTGGATACACACACATAAAACTCAGTAAATCCAAATGGTGTCATATTATTAAAAAATGGTCTGAACCTATATTTTTTAGCATTAGGGAATATCTTGAACATTTCACTCTTTCAATGAAAGAATGGCTGGTAAACATGGAAAAAAACGCTCAACATCACTCAAGTGAAGAAATGTAAATTAAACCCTGAAGTGTAATGTTTCATCAGTCAAATATGTGCAGAGATGAAACGTTTGGTAATACCCAGCATTAAGGAGGGAGGGGAGAAAAATTACATATAAATCATATTCAGTGATAAACGGCTTGCAAACTCAATTAGTTAACCACCTTTCTTTATTTGGTTCACTGAAAGGGGAGAAGATAAATAGGAAATTTTGTGATGAGTCTGAATGTTTGTGGAACATAGTACAAATCACATACATTATAAGTCTGTACAGTGACTTTATTTAGCCTCAGTTCTTGTGCGTATAATTCACTGCATTTCCTCAGCGTGATTGGGCTCATGGATCTAGACATCACTTAAGAAATCGTCTAAGGATTTTGATGTCCTTTCCAGTGGGAAAACTAAACATGAAAGTGCATTTATTTAGTGCATATACTTAGACCTAAATATAGGAAGTCCCATTGCAAAGCCCATCTACATAGTCACTCGAGAAATAAAAAACTCTCTGCACAAACATCTCATGGTATGTATGTTGTGTGTGTGTGTGTGTGTGTGTGTGTGTGTAATTATAGTGCAGCGCATCCCAAATCTTTGTCGATTATCTAGTTGGAATTTACTTTGTTACACAGAATTCCAAAATCATCAACAGGAAATTTTCCCTAACATAGCTCCAAAGTCATTGGTTTCCATTTATCTACAAAAAGCTTAATGTTTTCAAAGACCTGTTTTTGTCAGATATGAGAGCACTTTTAATCAATTTTTTTTTTCAGAAAGAGGGGAAGATGTTCTAAATCTAAGGAGTCAACTCCTCAGCCCTCTAGCTGGGCTCCAGCCTAGATAAGGCAAGATTTCAGGGTTCTGTGTTATTAATGTGCTGTCCATATGAATAACGAGCAAGGCTTTTGAATTATTTCACCCTTCTAGTAAAATCTATAGCTCTGTCCTTCTGCAACAGCACGGGAAGCTGCTGAGGATATTGGTCCATTTCTCTGTGGAAGATTCTGATAACTTCATCTAAGGAGGTGGTAAAACTTACGTCCCCTTCTGAGGCCTGTGTAGAAATTGATGCAGATGAATAACACTTTGAAAAATAACACTTTAAAAAGTTCTTCCATCCTCTCAAGCTCCTTGAATTTTTTAGGGCCTACTGTTGGCCCAAACAGCAAGACAAGAAAACCCACTAACCAGGGAAAATAGAGGCCCAAATATTTAAGGTTTATGTTCAGAGGCCATTCAGAAACTCGTTTAAAATTGAAGGATTAGGTTATTTTTTTTTTGCCCCCAAACTAATATGGATGCTATGAGTCCAGGGAGGGAGAAAAGAAGGACCACATGGGTAGGAAAACTGTGATTCACTGGAGCAAAGGCTATCTGCCCTGCTACCTGAGAGATGTGTCTCCACCTGTGGACCCAGCTCTCCAGCCACCAGCCAAGAGCCTCTCTCCTCTCTCTGTACACAGTAGCTCAGCACACTCTTCATGTCCTTTTGGCTGCCTTCCAGTGAAGACCATCCATGAATAGCAGCTAGTTTATTGCACACTGACTGTCCAAGAGGAGTCATAGCCACCAGCCTCCTTAGCCTCCCACCCTTCACAGATGACCTCAGAGAAACTTACGAACCCCAGGAAGTGAGAAGAGGGGACCTGGGCTCCTTAACTGGTAGGATGGACATAGGAAGGAAATTCCACACATGAACTACACAAGACCCAAGGGAGCCAAGTTCTCCAGCTGAGCTAGGGCATCAGTAGAACAGTCTCACCTTCCCCATCCCATCTATTTCACTTCTAATCCCTGGTACTATTTGGTATTTTCATTATTGTGTCACTTTAAAAAAAAATTTAATGATAAGTATCACTGGGCCCACCTCCAGTATCAGCTAATATTACTTAGGCTGGCAAAATGTTTGGGTAGTTATCCAGCCACTCATTCAAAGGGAGGTCACATTTCTTCAAGTTTAGAATGGCCTGTTAGTGCCAACTCAGAAAAGGTTGTTCATCATCTCCTTTGGTGCCTACACACTAATTTTGCTTTATGCTGGATGCCTGTTCTCACCAACACACTTCAAGGTGCAAGAAACCTAACCCGTCTCAAGAGTGGCTCAAGTGAACAGGGAAGTTATTGTGAGAATATACCGGGGTCACTGGATCCAAGAGCAGAGAGTGCACGATACCAGGCCTCAAGGCAGCTCAAACTGAGCGAGGCCGTATGTGTCCTCATAGTTCTGTCTCATAGACGATGCTCACCTTTCCTCTTGGGCTCTTTCTGGATACCCGCCTCATTCTCTTGTCTCTGCAAATTAGAGGCATTAAGTCTGTCCCTGCCAGCTGGCAGTGGTCTTTTCAACTATATGGGACTCTAGTTACAGTACCAGTTTAATATAATTATAGAGTCCTTACTAGATGCCAGACCCTGTGTATTAACACGTATTACTTTGTGATTTTTAACAACAACAGCCATATTAGATAGGTACTATTATTATTTATCCCCATTTTATAGACGGGGAGCCTGATGCTTTAGAGAAGTTAAATCATTTCTTCCAAGACATGGTAGCCAGAGATCTGAGACCCCAAGTGAAGAACTGCCGGCAATGATGGTTAGGAGGTAGCATCAGGACCATGGGTAGGAAAGGTTCAGAGTACCTGCCAGTTCTTGCATTCCTGTCCTTGGAGAATAACACCACCATGCAAGCATGCTCGGCTTACTTAAGCAGCTTGCAACATACTCA